CTCCCCCCCCCCCCCCCCCCCTCTTTAAAGCATAATAATAATAATATGAATAATAATATATTGCAGCTTATCAGCCCTTAGATTTGGTGACTGCATTAGTTTTTTTTCAGGCTTTTTTTCCTTTATTTTCACCTCGTGATAACACACGTCCTGCCCCCCTTGTGAGCTATGATGTCCGTTTATCCAGTCAGCACTGGAGGAACAGAGAGGGGAGGGAGGAATCCCTGTGGGGAGCGGTGACTGGCAGTCGCTACTCTTTGCAGGGAGAGGATTGGGAAGTCATGCGTTCGCTGACTTTCTGATCAACAGAGCCGACCTGTAACAGCTTCAATGTCACATGCCAGCTTAAATTATGGGGATGAATATTTTTTACTCACCCCATAATTCTCCTTTAAGTTAAGAAACACAACAGGGTTCCCCTTCTGCTCCAACCTGCTGACTAAACAAATGAATGGGCAGTCATACTGTGATGAGGTTATCACACTGCTGCCCCCATCTGTAAGCGGGCTAACAAAGTTAGACTGATAGCACTTTGCAGTGCAACAGATTCCACTGTAATTGGCTGACACTGCTGCCATAATCTCTCTCATTCTAAATACAACAGAAAATAACAAGGAAACCACTATAAAAACAGATCTAGGCACCTATATGAGCTGCATTTTAAAATGCATTTCATTTTTTGTAGCAATTTTTTTTTTGTATGTCTTAAGTTCATGCCCAGAAATGCATAGCATACACCATCATTTAAATGAAGATAAATGCATTCTGTAAAAATAAATTAAAAAAATGTAATGGTGAAATCTGAGAGGATAGTATCAATATGAAAAGTTCATATCATCTTATAATGAATAGGGATTTCACCCTTGTTTTGCAGAGTGTAACAACACTAGATAGAGTAACAAGCATGTCCATTACCGGCATTCTGGCTTTGCTTACTGTAACCTGACCTTCGATTTAGAACCTTGGAAAATTGCTAGAAGCCGAACAGGACAAAAGATCTAAAAGACTCTTGATTGGCAGATTCTGCGCATTAGCAGGAACGCCAGTGACATGCTCGCCCAGGGGATGTAATGACCTTGACAACTGAATCCTAATCTTCCTCCTTATGTACTAGTTACTGAAAACAATTCTATATGCATGCCAAGCTTGATTTTCAAGCCCTATTAAATGTACATTTTGCTGAGAAGGAGACCATTTATTACTGGAATATTACTTAAATCCTGCAATCAACACCAATGCTATAATTTTCTTGTCAAAAGTTCTTTCCAGAGAAGAAAATTTGTTGAAATAGGAATGTGTACCCATTAATTACGAGGGTTATCCAGTTCTTGGCCATATCATTTTATGTATCTTTTTACTGAAAAGTCAGCAGATATAAAAACTCCCATTTCGCCCCCCCCCCCCCCAATGTGCCGTGGGACACAAAATGGCTTTATATAAGGCCAAACTCCGTCTAATACATATTTGTTTTGGTAGGCAAGACTAAAGCTGGTCATACACTATTAGAATCCCAACCGATTCCTGTGAGTTAGCCAAAATTCCAACCCTGAGTGGCCTTGCCTGCACCATCCGTCCGGCTCAACAAACTTTGATTGGAAAATTGAAGGAACTGGGTGGAAAATAGTCAGCCAAACAGTGATTACAGCCAATCAAATGCAGTCACTGTACAGACCGCGTGTGCTGGCTGCCAGAATACAAATGCCCAGAGGAGGAGAATCCACAAGTGGCTGTCCCTGTGGGCACAAGAAAAAACTAAGGGTTATTCACAAAGCTAGCCAAAGGATCAGCCATAGCTCCGGCTGATCCTTCAACTAGCTTTGACCACCGGAGCCTTTCGGTTCAGTCGAACCCGAAGGGCTGCTGTATGGGCTATTCACTATAGCCCGTACAGCTCCCGAAGGCATATGCTTTGGCTCGACTGAGCCGAAGTGAAACCCGAAGCCGGCCGAAAGCCTCACAACTGACAGCTGGGCGGAGCTATCCTTGATCTCACAGCTGGCCCCGCCCAGTTGCAATGACAGATCAGCGTCCCTAGGTTACCTGGGCACGCTGGACTGTCATTAAACAATGACAACTTGGCGGAGGCGGCTGTGATGTCACGGCCAGTTCCACCCAGTTGCTATTTATTGGCTGTGACCTGCTAGAAGACTCTAACAGGTCCCGGCCAATAGGAAACATTTAGGCGGTGCTGTCACTGCTAGCTCCACCCAATTGTTTATTTTTTTAATTTATTTTTTCTTTTTTTCAATAATCTTTATTTTTCTTATTTACATTTGTTAATCTTTTTTTCCAACTTTCTTCGCTGTTTTTCTATTCTGCTTGGTACCACGGAGGTACTGAGCAGAATAGCCGAGCAGAATGCAGCTCGGTGGCATTCGGCTATTCACTCACTGCCGTTCGGCCCCTATGAGAATAGGCCGAACGGCAGAGAGGAGACTGCCGGAGGTTCAGCTCAGCCGATCCAGATGTTGGATCGGCTGAGTTTAACTCCTTCAGCACTTTGGTTCAGCCGGACAGGCTGAGAATGTTCGGCTGAACTGAAGCCAGCCGAAGCAAGCTAATGTACGGCTGATTTCAGTCGATGCCTTAGCCAGCTTTGTGAATAACCCTCTATATGTCTACAGCCAGCGTTAGAGTCTCTATCAAGTTTTTATTGCTGTCTGTCTCCCTTAAATTAGAACTGAAGCCACAACTTTTTTTTCGTTTTGGATTGAGTAAGGGAGGGTTGTTACCCCTGTCTGCATTTTCCATTGCCATCTGTGTCCTATTGGGGAGATTTTCTTTCATGTCCTTTCCGATATATAGCCATAACAGGAGGTTAGAGGAAATCCCTGCTCAGAGAAGGGGACCCCTGGTGGTCAACCGAATCACCAGAACTAGTGTTCCAATTTGAAGATAACCCCTCTTTTCCTGTTCTGGTGACAAAACAAATGTGTGATTTTCTTTCACTTTCAGTGATAAAAGTCACTAGGACAATCAGAGAGGGTGAATCTCCATAATAAGGACACAGCAATAAAAACCTAATCCATCCTCACTATATATATATGGCCTCAATTGCACTTTCAGAGACAAGTAATGCCACAAACCTTTGTGGGGCTCACTTGTGTTTCCCTGCTGTACAATATACCTGACATGAAGTTGTAAATGACAATGTATTTCATATATATTCTCTCATACTGAAACATTAAAACAAAAATTGGATGTGATAAGTAATAGTTGTCCTTCCTTCAAGTACCTTACCCACCAGGCCTACTTCAAACTTCTCTATTTGCTCATAGCAACCAAAAAGACTCTCCATTTCTTCAGTGCAGTACTGGAAACCTTTTTTGTTAGCTAAGGTTGGCAAATACTACATCGTAATCTATATCTCTTCTTTCTGTGCTCATACAATGGCTACTGTATTTCCTTTTCGACATTGTTAGCTAACAAGGTGTGTCATATTTACTAGACGATAAGCAGACAGAAAAAGAAAAAAGAGAAGTGCCTTGGGCCAAATGAAGAAAGCTCACAATGGATGCAAAATTCATAGTTTTAGGGAGCTTCAAGGTACATCACCCACATGCAGTAGTCACATCCGTTTTGTGGGCTGAGGCACAATTCCTAATAGTGTAGACTGCAAAGAACCCCAAAGCAATGGCTACAATAGATGGCCAAGTCCCCAGACATATAATTCATAAAGGATTATTTTTAATCACCAAGCCACAGTGCAAACATACTTCTTGTACTGTTTCCATGGAGACATGACCGGGATGCCTCTTGTATGTAGTGGTGATGGGATTCGCTCCATTCAGCCATCTGTACTGTGAGTAGCCTAAAACAAGATTCACAACTTGCGTTTGGGCAACCACAGTTGGTGTGAACCATGGCACTTAGAATGGCACCCCACCACACAACAGACCTGCATTTTGTGCACCATAAAGTACCGATATGAGCATGCTTTAAGGTGCACT